AGGGTTCTTCTAAGGGGCCTGGTCCATGCAGGCCTGGTCCACCTTGACACATCTGAAGCATCCTGAGAGGGAGGGAGGCTCCAACTTTGAAGGAGGCGGCGAGCTGCTGTATGGCCAGGGCACGCTCTGGCATGACTATAGCCCTCATTTGGCTGAGTCAAAAACTGCTCCCAGGAACGAAATTTGTTGGCTGGGAGAGAGTGAGCTCTTGGCAAAATTGACCCTGAGCCCCAGGCACTCCAAGTGGCTAAGGAGAAGGGACCTGTGGGATACTAGCTCGGCCTCTGACTGGGCTAGGATGAGCTAGTCGTCGAGGTAGTTCAGAATGCGAATTCCCATCTGTCTCGGAGGGGAAAGAGCTGCATCCAAGCACTTCGTGTACGTACGAGGAGCTAGAAACAGTCCAATGGAAAGGACCATGTATTGATATGCCACTTCCTCGAAGGCATATCTCAAGAATTGCCTGTGATGAGGGGCTATATGGATGTGAAAGTAAGCATCTTTCAGGTCCAGAGAGAAGAACCAGTCCCCTGGGCATATTTGCGAGAGGATCTGCTTCAAAGTAGTCATCCTGAACGGCTGTTTAATGAGGGAGTGCCTGAGGTCGAGGGACTTTGTCCGCATCCTTAATCTCCGTGAGGTTTAACCATAAGTGTCGCTCTAGCATCACTAAGCTGGCCATTGACCTGCTGATGGCCTGAGCCGTTGTCCTGAAACGCAGCTGGATCGGGTCCAGACTCGTCCATGCAACAGAGGAGTTTGGCCTGAAAGACCTGGAGGACGGCCATGGAATGCAATGCCAAGGCCGCCTGGCCAGCCGAGGTATAGGCTCGTCCAGCGAGGGCTAGCGTCGTCTTACAGGGCTTAGAAGGATGGGCAACTTTCCAGTGGCTAGGCAGAGGTATGCAGCCACTGACTCATCCAGGGAAGGCAGCTTTTTGTGGCCCTTTTCTTCAGCGCCGTCGACTATGGTGAGGGCGGATGAAGCAGATGTGCGTAGGCGGGCCGAATAGGGGGTGCGCCACGACTTAGTGATCTTGGTGTGAACCTCTGGAAAGAATGGAGAAGCTCGTTGCCGAGGGGCCTGGCGGCACCCCAGCAAGAACCATTCATCCAGGTGACTGCGAGTGGGCTCCTCCAGAGTAGACCACTTTAAACCCAGCTCTTCGACCGCTCTAGAGAGGACATGGAAAACGTCGACGTCCATCCCTGCTTTAGCATCGATGGGTTCCATAGACGGCGAGGGGGCAGGGGCGCTCGTCGAGCCCATCCAATCTTCCGCGTCTGGTGCCGCCAATGACATACTGTCATCTAGGGATTGTAGTCAAATCCCTGGAATGAGACCAAGTCACTCGTGATGAGGGACATTGGTCTGGGCGGGTGAAACTAATGGGAGAAGCTTGGGCACGCGTGGGCTCACTCGTATCTGAGCTCCTCTGCCCCGCTGTTTTTTCCTCACAGGCTCCTGGGAGGAAGACAATGGGAGGGTGCTAGCGGTGGATCCTTCCGCAAGCACAGAGAGGCGAGACTCATGTTCTCAGTGAGAACAATCCGTCTCGGTGAGCGCGGCTTCCGCGTGGGATTTCCCCAAACAGGAAATGCACTCACCGTACCCGTCATGAGTGTGCAGGGGTGCCCTGCACGAGCCACAATACACTCTTAAAAATAAAGGTGCTTCGAAAGGTTCTTCAAGCGATGCCATAGAAGAATCATTTTTGGCTCCACAAAGAACCATTCAGTCAAAGGATCTTTAAAGAACCTTCTCTTTCTTATCTTTTTATAATCTGAAGAACCTTCTTTCGCCACAAAGAACCTTTTGTGAAACACAAAGGTTCTTCAGATATTAAAGGTTCTTTATAGAACCATTTAGACAAAAAAGTTCTTCTATGGCATCGTGAAGCACCTTTATTTTTAAGAGTGTAGCGGCGTGGCATTTGAATCAATTCCGTGGAATTTGCTCTTAGAAATTTGCTCTTTTAAACTCACCAGATGTGCTGAAACAGCAGCTTGCAGACGCTGAAGGCGGCTCATGAGAGGCTCACTGAAGAGGCGGAGCAGTGAACAGCTGAGCAGAGCAGGCACTGAATCAGCTTGATCTGCTGTGAGGCGTGTCAATGGCAAGAAGGCTTCAAGTCTCATAGTTCAGCGAAGAGAAGATCATCGTCGCTGATTGAGAATAAATCGGAGGATCCTATGCCAGCATGCCCGCTTATATAGCCAGATGACCCCAGCCATTTCATGGCCATAAGCATGTGCAGCTCCGCTGCCTCACCATTGGTTTGTTTTTATATGTACTGCACGAACCAATGGCCATGCAGTTACTCTGCGTTACTGAAAAATGCTTCAGTAATCAGAGAAAAAGAGTTTTCTCATCGCAGGAAAGAGCGATGGGAAAGATGGAGGATGCAGTACGAGTTAAGTTCCGATAGGGAAAAATTATTGGAGTATGTTTTACAAGAAAATATTGTAACACATCAGATAAGGGAACCCATTCATATTTTACTCAATAAACTGCTAATTTGTTGCATATTGATAATAATTTAGTTGTTGTAGTAGTTATGTTTATGTATTGGGTAGGGTTAATAGATCTAGATTATGGTCGTGCATTAATATGTGCTATTTAAGCATTAATAAACAGCCAATGTGCTAATAATATGCATGTTAAAAAGCATGGTTAATAGTGAATAGTGTTTCCTAATCTAAAGTTTTACCGAAAATACCAAAATGTAACGTAAAAATTGAATGTTTAATTACTTGCTGTTTCATTGTAATTGTTTTTGAAATGTACTAGTAGTATAAATGTACTAGTAATTTCTGAGTGAAAATTTTCATTCCTTAACCTTGAAGCTTTTGATAGGGCTATCTTAGAAGGTATTATTGCTAAAAAATGACTACATTTCTCTATGAAGAAAATTAATGTGATTTTTATTCTTTGGTAGCTAAATCTGGCAGACGTTAGTGAAATGGCTTGCATCACCTTTAAGGGCAGCTCTTAGATCTTTGATTGGAATGGAAGTACACTTGGCAGTTATGTATTAAACGTTTACATGTGCGTTATAAGAAAGTATTTGACACATATTGAGGTGATTGCAGGGCACTATAGGAGGAAAATACATTTCCAAGAAAAAGATCAGAAAAAACAGACACCCGCTTTGATCAGGCAGAATAACTTTAGAAACTGATATCAACAATCAGGGGAGATGACATTTGAAGACCACATCAAAAAGAAGGACATGACAGGTGATCAAAAAGCCTCCCTCCACAAGTGAAAACCTTGGGCTTTTCACACACATGCACAAACACACCACTTGCAAATGCATTGACCTTGCCTCATGATTCAAGTGCTTCTGTGTTGGTCAGGACCGATTACTTTACATAAAGTGGTTTGTGTGGGTTCTACATGTTAATTAATTTTGTGTCACTTACATCAAGTTAGACTTGTATAGACATACTTTTCACTATAAACACAAAAGTCTGGTGCAGCTTTTTCTGGCCAAGAACCACTGACTTAAACACAAAGAGACCCTCTGACTGACATGAATGTGACAAAATGTAGATTTTGTTTTTATGTCATATTAAGCTACAAGCTTACCTAAAAATTATGTAGCGCAATGTGTCACTGAATGATAATCAATCAATCAATCAATCAGTCAGTCTGTCAGTCTGTCTGTCTGTCGATCTATTTATAGATGTGTGTAAAAATAATTCGATTTTCTGTCTGTCCAAAACTAATAAGTACAGACAAAACTCAAAAACAATATATAGTTCTGCCCTTACATATCTAGGCTATTTGTTACTAATTGTCTCAAACAAAGCTAATTTTATCAAAAACTGAGTATGAGACAAAGATCAACCAGACCATTCCTTTGAGGAAACTACTGAAGCACTTAATATTAAATAACAGTTTAAAGTCGTATTAATGGTATACTTTAGTAGCCAAATAATGCATAAAGTGCAATTCAAGGTGTTAACTTTGTTCTTGCATAAAATCGTTTTGATTAAAACCATTCTATGCCAATTTATAGCTATTTATAAGATGATGGTTCAGTGTGCCACCCTTTAAAACATCAATAATATTTAATTTATTGATGTTGCATGTTGCCATAACCAATTACACCAATGTTCCAGTTTAGAAATACAAATAAAACAGCTGGCAAATAATAATAAAAAAGGTGTTATGTAATAATAACCAGTATAATATAGTATCATGAAGACTAAATAGTCAAAGATTTACAACATGGAAAATTATGTGCATGTAAAGAGGGTCAATGCTGCACCTGAAATGAAGTCACCCATGAACTCACCTAATGTGATTTTGGCCAGTAATTGAACTCAGAGGGATGTCAGAAAGTGAGGCTGTGTGAACACAAACTCACTGTGGCTTAGGAGGAACAAGAGAGTGGGGAGGGGAGAAACATGGGACATGCTTTGACCTTTCTTTGCTTTTTATGGGAAATAGCCTTGAGCTTACCATCACTAAATCCCCTGTCAGCTCTACAGGAATAGATATTCCACCTGTGAATGCAATCTTTACTGACATTCTTATGAACACTGTACACTTTGGGCTGTTGAAAGAGAACATTCCATTGCTTTTCTTCTTAATAGCTTCTTTGGCAGGGTTTGTTCTTATAAAGAAACATTCTATATATTATGTATATAATGTATGCACATTGACCCTTTTGTGTCATTCAGTGTATAAAAGTTCTAAAAGTGTACTATCTATCTATCTATCTATCTATCTATCTATCTATCTATCTATCTATCTATCTATCATTTTTAGGTGAAATTTGACCAAAACTATTTACATACTTGTATGCGTGTTTTTTGTATTCATAAGAGTTCAGCAATGAGGCAGTGCATCTGGTGAAATCCTTCTGATACACTGCCTTGAACACGCACCAGTCGACTATCACACATAATATGTCTTATTCATTTCATCATGTTTTTTGTGTTTTTGTCTTCTTTCTCTTGCATGCTCTGCTTTCATGCAGTAAGCCAAGGTGGGATGGCTGCAGACATTTGTCCAGATCCGGGGATTCCTGAGAATGGGAAAAGAACTGGCTCCAGCTTCCAGTAGGTCCTCTTTTTGTTCTCTTATCTGCTGCACTTGTCCTTTTTAACTGCATGACACAGCTTTAATCAGGCCTGGGCCTGCTGTTTGACACGTCTGTCTGAACTCCCATACCAATAGGCCATTACCACCAGGACCTTTGGTCACTGCTACTAAGTGGGTTTCTAATGCCCTTAGAGAAAAACCAAGGGCCATTACATGTTCTGCATTTAATGGAATACGAAGTGGGTGATTCTGAAAATAGAAGACACAAGCGGTTTATAGACATTTGACAGAAAGTGCTTTCATCTAACAAAAGAAGGATGCGTCAGAGACATAGAGGGTCTGGGGTTGATGGTATGACTCATGTAGCTGGTCGATCGCTGACGGTCATTTCAACTTCGGCAGGGTCGGAGCCAGCATCCAGTTTTCCTGTGACGACAGCTACGTATTGCAGGGATCAAAGAGCATCACTTGCCAGAGAGTGACTGAGACCCTGGTGGCCTGGAGTGACCACAGGCCTATCTGTCGGAGTAAGTGCAAATATGTCTCTCTTTTCCCCTGCTCAGACACTTTCTGTAGGGACGTTGTCAGATCCTGTTAAGTGAGATGTGTACCACATGGCAGTAGGGAGTAAGGCCACATAATTCATAGGAATAGTTGTGCCACACAAATTTAACAAAGACAATGCTAGCCCATGCAAATATATAAAAGAACATGTCTGGTTTTGAATTATGCATTTAGGGTTATCTTGGTGACTGTAGCTCTGTTCCAAAATCTAGTGTGCTCTCTATTTCTTACATCTCAGTATTTAAATCAAAATGGGCAAAAAGGCAGTTTGAAAGATAATCCCTTAATGCATTGCAAGAGTAACACCTCATTTTGATAGTCTTTAGACATTCTACTAAATGACTTTGCAGTTACATCAACAAACAGACATTACAGTATTAATAGACTAATAGATTTGCCACAGTATCAATGTGTGTTTTGTACTTTTATGCTTATTCATTTTACAGTTACCTTAGCAACATGCTAACATCACACTAGGTGTGTCCCAATTTGCGTATTTATGCATTATTCCATGCCAGTTTTATTCCAAACTTTAAATACCCAGATTATGTGCTTAATTAACCGAAGAAAAAAAAACACTTTCCACAGCTTTCCTTCCACAGCAGAGGGGGAGGGGCTATCAGACTGTGATGTTGGAAGACAAACTAACCTAAATACAGATTTTGGGTATAAACTGAAACATTGTGGTACAGTATGAGCTGTCCAGGCTGGGTTTATTTAGTAAAACTGTGTTTGTTTTGCTCTTGCTTATGACTTCACTTTTGTTCTTAGTTTATTTTTATCCACATCTATTAATTTCATCAGGCAGATAAATGAGGAGTGATGTTTACTTTTAATTGGTGCTGTCATTAACTAGAAAAAAGAAATAAAATCCAGGTTTAATTAAAGTTTTGCTAGTTTTTGCAAACATTACCTCCATAACTCTGATGAAATCAACATGTTCATGTTCAAATTTTATATTATTCTTTTTCTTCTTACCTTATCCCATGCAAATAAATGTACACAGTCTTGCGGCTAGATGTACCCTTAAGATGAGACCTGAAGTGGGGCTGTATTGAAAGGCATAGAGGACACAGGCCTCCAAATGAAATTAATCAGAATGAAATAAGGCAGTGTGTCAGAGTGGCAGACGGAGGAGTAACCATGTTTGACAATTTCTTTGCACAATTCTTGCCGATCACCGATTGATCCAGACACTTTTTGTTTCAGTAGTGCCAAGTAACCTTTTTAAAGACAAGCCTTAAATGCCTTCATCGCCTTCTTCCTGTGATATGTTAGGGGAGTGAGTGTATAAAACAGGAAGTTAAATACATTTTAGCCTTGTGATTGCGATTAACAACATAAATTCTGCTCTGGCTCACACAAACCTCCTGTATTCCGCCAGAGAGGACCGCGGCTGTAACGCATCATCATTTAGATTAATTTTGTTACTGCTTTTGACATTTTTGCAATAAATAAATTATTGTAATTGCATCTGTCTGTCATGTTTTTCTTATACTGTACATACATGTTTAGGTTTATACAGTGGTGTATAAAGTACCTGAAAGCCATACTCAAGTAAAAGTACAAATAACTTACCAGAAAATGACTTTGGTAGAAGTTGAAGTCACCGATTAGAATATTACTTGAGTAAAAGTCTTAAAGTATGTGATATTTATTGTACTTAAGTACAACAATTATTTTTTAAATCTTAAACATACTTAAGTATTGAAAGTAAAAGTACAAGTAAAAGCAAAATGGAAACTAAGTAAATAAATAAATATATATATATATATATATATATAAAAATGTTCATACACTGCTTGAGTAGCAAGATTGTGTTCAGTTTTAACTCCTTCTTCCATTTTGTATTTTTGGGTAAGAATAAGAAGCACTTCATCCGGTACTTAGTGTCTTTTATTCCAACGTAAGAAAACATTACTGGAATCTGCATCTTAAATAGCATTTAGATGTATTTACACAGTTTATGTATCTCAGAGGGGACATGGATGCATTTAAACTGCAGTTACAAATGCATAAATAGGCCTAATGTTTTGTTTTTAACATAAAACGTTGAATACTGATATTTGAAATCATTTAAAACTTGAATAAAACCAGAAACAAATTGTCTTAATGTGAAATTAAAACGGCCAGTAGGTGACAGCAAGTGACTGTTAATGAGTGAGTCATTGAGATTCAACTGATTCATTCAAACGACTGATTCATTCAAATACAAACCATTTGACTGTGTTAATGAGTGAATCACTGAATCATTTATTCAACCGATGTGTTGAAAAAGCTGATTCATTCAATAAGTAAACACCGTCCATTGCTCAGAGACGCAAAACAGTGCTGTGATCTTTGTTTGGAACTATTTCTGTTGGCAAAATTGAGCAAAAACAAGCAATATCATGTCTAAAATGTAGGCCTAAGTCACTTATTGCTTTACTAAACTTGTATAAAATGATTATAAAATGTGTTATCGTGCTGATTATCTGCAGAAAAACGGTAGTTTTTGTGTGATATAGATTAAGTTAACTATATTAAATTATATAAATATAAAAA